TTTTTTTTTTTTTTGCTTTTTCTTCACCCCCCTGCAACTGCATTTTTCCAGCCCTTCCTAGCAGCTTTATTCAGATTTATTTGGCGTGCTTTGGAGAAAGCCACTATATAATCGGGAGGTCAAAGGCATACTGAAGAAAGTTAATAATGGCTGCTAATGGTGCTAACAATTCAGGGTGAATCTTGTCAAAAGTTTTTTTTTTTTTTTTTCCCTCTCCTCCACCCTTTTTTTCCTCTCTCCTTTTTTTTTTTTTTTTTTTTTTTTTTTTCTGGAAGTCTCAGTCTTTTGATTGTGTGTTTCCTGAAAGCAAGACCAATCATTTCAGTTTATTCACTGGCTAAACTCTACTTGATTGGGGACAAGCACACAAACCATCCATTACGATCTGATATATTATCCAAACAATTTAGTGTATTCATGAGGTAACCTAAATGTGGAGGCTGCAAAATTACCCGTAATCAATTGAAACAGCGAGTGCGCGTCCCTCTGTGTGTCTAACAACTACATGTCTCTGTAATAAGGCAGACATTAAATCATTTTAGAGTTGTACTGTTGAGTACCTGATCACTGGGCGCTCTGGGAAGCCGGACAGTCACATTAGGACGCTGAGACTGAGGAAGCCGCTGCTTTTCCAGTGGGATAAAAACCGATCTTCCTTACTCAAGGTGCTTTACAGATCCCCACCGATCTGACCCTAAGCCGTGCAATATTCAACATAGACTTCGTCTTCTTCTTCTTCTACTCTTCTGTAATTTTTTTGTTATCATTGTTGGTTTTTTCTGTTTTGTTTTTATTGCACTACATGTTTGGGAAACAAGACAAAATGGACGTTAGATGCAGTTCAGAGACTGAAGCTAACCGGGTCTCGAAGAACGGACATAAAGAGGGCAAGGAAAGCAAAGGGTCTGAAGGAAATATTTCTACTTCTTTTTTGAAGGATCAGCAAGGGACTTTTTCTGCCTCTGCAGCTACGGAAGGTTGTAATAAAAGTAAATCTAGTTCGGCTGATCCGGACTATTGCAGGAGGATCCTAGTTAGAGGTATGAGTTTGAGGTGTTTGGCGAGGGTGGGGGAAAGTGAGCCGTGCTCACGCCCGGGAGACGGGTTTGTTTTGTTGCTTTGCCTTTGGTCCGGCCCTGGGTTGAAAGCCCTTTCCCAGGGCTGCGGGGGAGACACCCCGCTGCCCCGCCGGGCTGTGCCCGCAGCCCCGCTCCCGGCGGCTTTATCGGCTGAATTTCCGCCGCGCCTGGGGAAAAGTTAAGCCGCGCCGGTTCCTGCCCGGCGCTGCCCCGCCACGGGCCAGCCCCGCTTATTGTTGGTTGTTTGTTGGTGTTTTTTTTCCTTTCCTGCTTTCCAGCCTTCCTGGGGTGCCGGTCCCCGCGGGGAGCCCCCGGGGACAGCGTTCCCTCGGGGGGCCGCGGTTCTGCCCCGCGGGCAGGGCGCTCCTTCCGCGCATCCCGCGCATCCCGCGCGTCCCGCACGCCGCGGACGATTGCGCGGGGCTGCGGGCAGCAAGGCCCTCTCGGAGGGTAGGGGCTTGCCGCTGTACCCCCTCTCTCTTCGCGCCCAGAGGAAAGGACTGTTTTTAAAACCATCAGCCTTTAAAATGAATGGACGAAGGGCTGTATAAATACTACTTTTTAATAGTTATATGTCAATTTTTTTCACAACCTTCGTCCCTCCTCCGGGCTTAAATAATTAAATTACCCTATTCGTATCCCCTCCAAAAAAAAATAATTAATTTACCTGAAGAATTTTCAGTTTTATAAGGTGCGTTTTGGGGGAGGAGGGAGAGAAAAGAGCTGGAATAAAATCGGTGGGAAGCAGGCCTTGGAAGCCAGATTTAATCCTTGCGCCACTGGCTGACCCAGAGAGGGGTCAGATTAAAATGATGTGATTGTCTCTGATTTAAAACGTACCGAGGAGGTAAAATTACGGCAAGTAAAGTTGGGAAGGCTTTAAGGTAACCTGAATCTGGCTCTAGCTTGACAGTCGTGTTAATAAGATTTGTCCCGCTTTCCTTCAGTTGAGGCTACCAGAAAACAGGTTTCTGCGGCTGGTTGGTGCCTTGGTTTCTTTTTTTTTTTTTCGCCCCCTTGCTTCTCCTCTTTGCCAAAACCCCAAAGCGGTGTGGGCAGCAGTGCAAGGTGGGCTGGAGGTGTCCCCACATTCGCGGTGGCAGGCAGCCAGCTCAGGGCAGCGCTGCCTCTGCCCAGAAAGCTTCTGCCTGTTTTTCTTTCTTTCTTTCTTTTTTTTTTTTTTTTTTTCCCTCCGCACGGGAAACTTGTTTTATATACTTATACATTTTTTTAAAAAAAAAAGATGGTTTTATATTTTTGGAGGCGTCGAGGTGCGTGTGGTGGCTGCCAGCAAGTCCTAACCCGGAGCCCAAGGGGAACAAAGAGCAGCCCTGCACTCCAGACACAAAGCATGGCCTGGAGGATCTTTCTCTCCCCAGCTTCCCAGAAGGGCCGTGGGTGATGCCGCAGTGTTGTACTGTGAGAGCAATATATTCAAACTAATTTTTAAATGGGCTGGGGGGATTAATTATAAAGCCCTAGGCCCCCATCACCCCCTCCTTCCTTCTCTGTGGTGGGTAGTGGGTTTTTTTCCTTCCTTGGGTGTAACGGCCAGGTGCAGTGCCACAGTCACAGGGATCCTGTTCCATCCCGACCAGAGTCTCGGTCTTGAAGGCGATGGGGACGGCTCTTTCCGTTGGAAAAATTTAAAAAAAAAAAAAAAAAAAGGAGACGAGGGTTGCCTGGGTATGAAGCTGAGTGCGCCTTTCTTTGCCAGATGCCAAAGGTTCAATCCGAGAGATTATTCTGCCTAAGGGGCTTGATCTGGACCGTCCCAAGCGGACCCGCACCTCCTTCACGGCCGAGCAACTCTACCGCCTGGAGATGGAGTTTCAGCGCTGCCAGTACGTTGTGGGGCGGGAGCGCACCGAGCTCGCCCGCCAGCTCAATCTCTCCGAGACTCAGGTAACCCCAGAGGGACGGGGAGCCCCCACTGCCTTGTCCTGCCCTGCCTTGCCCTGCCCTCCACCGCGGTACCCCCCTCCCGGCCCGGGCATCCCCCCGGCCCTGCGCGCCCCAAGGACAGGCCGACCCCGCGGCACAGCCCCCGGGGCTGTCGGACAGGGCCGCGGGGCCGTGGAGAGGCGAAGCTTCCCCAGAGGTGCCCACGCGTGTCCAGTGCAGGGGGGAGGGCCGCAGTTCTCCGGCGAGAAGGAGCCGGGGGGGTTCGTGGCTGAGGCGACGGACTTACAATTCTGTGAGGCTGGGGAAGGGCAGCTGCTGGCAAAGGGGGTCCCCGTATCCCCCACACAGCCCCCCGGGGGCTCTCCCCGTGGGCGAGGCGGCGCGGCTCAAGGGATCTGAGCCACGAAGCCAAACCCCTCCCGGGCCGAACGCGGCTCCCCCGCACCTCCGGCCCGCAGGGACCCGGCCCGGCCCCGTTGGGCTCGGTGTCCTCCGGGGCTCGGTGTCCCCCCGGCTGCGCGGGGCCAGCCGCCCCCGGGCGCGGAGATGCGCTGCTGCGGCCAGGGGGAAGAGAGCAGAGGCCGAGAGGGATACAGCCGCTCAAACCCGGAGGGGCAGGCGGGCTCCTTCTCTCGGGACTGCAGGGTTAGAGACATTCGGTCTGAGCTTTCCTGGGTACGAGAGATCCGGGGACAGGGCTGAAGTTTGGGCCGTATTTTGAGTTCCTTGTATGTCCGAGGGCCAGAACCGCCCCTCCGACCTCCAGGGCAGAAAGGCCGGGGGCGGCCACGCGGGTTAAAATTATGCGAGAGCACTGGGAAGCATCTAAAAAGTCCAAACTTCTGAAAGCCGGTTTCATATTTCCTCAAAACATCATATAACAATAAATTCCCCTGACACGTTAATTAGCTTTTTTCTTTCCTTGATGGGTAGGAATGACAAGTTCAATAGCTCGTAGGTTACAAAATCTGCCACCGGTGGTTTCTGTTGTGTTTTGGTTTGGGTTTGGGTTTTTTTTGAGTGACTTTCAGGATTTCTTTTTAAAGCTGAATATTATTTAAAGTGGGTTGGGAGGTGGAGAGAGAGTGCCCAGGTTGGGATACGAGGGAAGAAGCACGTTGCTGCTGTTACCCCCATGAAAGGGAGAGCCAGAGCTGAGCGGGCAGCAGCGCGGGGGCAGCGTGCGGGGACCCTGCGAGCAGGGTGAGGGGCCGCGGTGTGCCCAGGGCACTGGCTGAGCCGGCTTAGAATAAAGCCCTGGGGAAAGGACTGAATACGGCTCTCAGAGAACTGCTGGCTGACGGCTAAAATAGGATAAAGTGAGAGAGGTCCGGTTAAAGATGCAGAGCTAAGGGCTCCCGCATCCCCCTTGGCCCGCCTCGGGGCACTCCGAAACCTGGCACAGACAGGCCATGCGGGTTCTGTGCGTGTCGCTTTGTGCGTTTTGGAAGCGGTCCCCGTTCCCAAGTGTCTGTCGGCCCTCCCGCCCTCCCTCCCCCGCATCCCCCCCGCGCCCCGCGGAGCCGCGCCGGGGTCCCGGGGCACCTGGCGGGGGGCGCCGCGCCCGCCGCCCCGCTGACCCTGCCTCTCTCCCCGGCCCGCAGGTCAAGGTCTGGTTCCAGAACCGGCGCACCAAGCAGAAGAAGGACCAGGGCAAGGACTCCGAGCTGCGGTCGGTGGTGTCCGAGACCGCCGCCACCTGCAGCGTCCTGCGGCTGCTGGAGCAAGGCCGGCTGCTGTCCCCGCCGGGGCTGCCCGGGCTCCTGCCGCCCTGTGCCAGCGGCGCGCTGGGATCGGCGCTGCGCGGGCCCGGCCTGGCCGCGGCGGGCAGCGGCTCGGCGGCGGCTCCGGGCGGCGGGGGATCCCCGCACCCCCCCGCGGCCACCGGAGCGCCCGGGCCGCCCCCCCCCGCCGCGCTGCACGGGGCGGCCGCGGCGGGGCACGGGCTGTTCGGGCTGCCGGTGCCCGCGCTGCTGGGCTCGGTGGCCGGCCGCCTCTCCTCCGCGCCCCTGGCCGTGGCCGGCTCGCTGGCGGGCAACTTGCAGGAACTGTCGGCTCGCTACCTGAGTTCGTCCGCCTTCGAGCCCTACTCCCGGACCAACAATAAAGAGAGCGCTGAGAAAAAAGCACTGGACTGACTCTAAGTACCTTCTCCCCCCCCTATTTATATTTATAGTCTCTATTTGTGGCGGTATTTATGGGACGGGCGGCCGGCAGCCGCCCCCCCGCGCTCCCCGCCGCCCCCGAGCCCCGCGGCGCGGCTCCTGCGCGGGCCGGGGCGGAGCGGGGCCCGGAGCCCGCGGGCCGGGAACGGGAACGGGGAGAGGGACTTTGGGAGCCTCCCCGGGGCCCGGCAGGAGCGGGGCGGCCCCCGCGCCCCCCCTGCCCCGCGGCCCATCTGTCCGTCTGTCCGTACGGGAGAGGGGTGTCGGCCCGCTCGTTCGTCTGGGGAAGGGCCGCAGAGGGAGGGCGGCCGCGCTCCCTTCGGTCGCTTTAGCGAGGGAGCAGGATTTCGGAGAGAGGAGGATGGAGCTGCCAGGTGATGCCCGTTTTCGGTTTTTTGCTTTTGGGTTTTTTTGAGGGGTGGTTGTTGGGGGTTTTCTGTTCGTTTTTGGTTTTGGGGTTTTTTTTAATTGTTGTTGTGTCTCCCAGACTCAGTGATTTCTAAGCACAAAGGTTTTGGGGCCCCACCTGCGGCCCTCGTTTACCCCCACGCTCGCTGCACTACAGTCCTCTGCTGCCGACCGAGCCCTGAGCACCAGTCAGGAAAACCTCCAGCAATTTTTGTTTTTCACGGTAAATCTTGAACGTGGGAAGGGCCGGAACGGACTGAAAAATACAATCACGAAGCGGGGAGACAGAAACCAGTGGCTGCAGAAATTTTGAATTAAATTGTCTCTTCCTTCGAGATAACACAACTGCCCCTTCTCCCCCCTTTTTTTTTCCTTTTTTTTCCCTTTGAATTCCCACGGGCCAGTGCCGTGGACCTTATCTGCAAAAACAAGTCTGCAGATAAATCATGGAACTCGCAACTCCATTTGTATCTAGATCTGTTGCGATGGTAATTCTTATTTTTATTGCTCTATTTGATTTTTCCGAATAATTTCAATGTGCATCTAAACACAAAAAACCCTGTAGCCTTCCTTGCTCCTAAAATAATATACCCTCTCGTATATTGCTCACACTTCATTTGAAACGAACATAAAATATAAAAAGCGTAACTTTTATTGTTATTTTTGTACTTTAAAACACATCTATGTAACAACCTTTTTTTTTCCTTCATAATTCTTACTGTTATTTTCTCCACGAACATATGTATTTCACCTTCTAGTATTCCGGATCGAATATTTCCTGTTCAATTTTGGTACTTGAATTTGCCAGAAAAGGGATGCTGTACTTAGCTAGTTCTTTGGGGAAAAAATTATTTACTTCGGTTTTAAGTTTCTTTTCTTTCTTTGAACTTTAACCCATGGCGTTTACAAACTGTATAAATACGTGCCACCAAACTGTAACCAAAAAAGAAAAAAAAAATATGAAAAGTGGAATGGTTGCTGTAGAATATAGAATTAACTATAGACCAGAACTGGACAGAAGAAGCTGGATGGAAAGAAAATAGTAATTTTATTGTAAATTATTTACGTCTGAAGTTTCTAGGCAACTAGTCGAAAAAATAATGAATGAATCGAGCGCTGAGCCCTTGCTACTAACTTTTGTTCTGAATGTTTTGGATATTTGGATGTTTTGTATTTATGTGGTGAGAGTGAAATATATTATATCTATATGATGACAGAATTAGGTGTATTTTCGTCTTATATTCATGGCACCCAAATTACCTTCATTTAATATGTGTGCTGAAAAAAAAAAAACAAAACAAAACAAAAAACCCCAAAAAAACCCCCAAAAAACCCCAAACAAACAAACAAACAAACAAAACCAACAAAAAAACCCACCTGTCCCTACATAACCCTCTCGATTTTTTTCTTTCTTTTTTTTTTTTTTTAATTTTATTTTTTCATTTTGAGTGGAGAGCTGTGAGGTCCACTTGGTAGAGGGTGATCTCTTCCTCCTGGGGCAGTCTGGGGCATTCCCAGTCCCCTCCCCGGTTCCATCCCAGCCCTCCTAGCGCTCCCCGGTCCCGCGGACACGATCCCACGCCCGTGTCCGTGTCTGTGTCCGTGCTGGAGCGGCGCCGTTCCCCTGGAGGGAGGCGATCCTGGTGCCCAGTGTGCCAGGTGCCACCACGGGCTCTGCCACCCCGTGCAGGGACCCACTCACCTCCACATCTCTTCTGCCTGTGGCGGCTGCCGGGCCTGGCAGGCACTTAGGGGTGCACACACGTGTGTGTCCACATATATCCCTGCAAGCACATATAAACACACATACACAGAGGTATGGAAAAATACATATGGTTGTGTGCATAAATATAGATATTTGTAAGTATTTGCTAAACAGCTCTTGTTTCCATCCTGTTTGGCAGCCCAGCCCTGAGCACCCTTTGCTGGGCAGCCAGTGCAGGGCAGACCCCACGGTTCCCAGGAGTGCCCTCAGTGCCCCGGCTCCCCAGGCCAAGCCACCTCCAGCACCAGGGCACCTGCTCTTCCCACGGCTTCACCCCTCCAGCGGGCTTTGCCATGAGCCCATCCCAGCCAGGGCAGATGCACTGCTCCAGATCAAGAGGGAAGGATGTGGTGGCGGCGCTGGTTTGCTTGTTGCTTTTTTTTATTAAGTGTGTAAAAATTATCTGATGAAGGGCAACCTGAGTGAAGGACAGGATCGCAGGTGACATTTGAAGAAGTGACATCGAAAATGCTGGTCAAGTTGGGAAAACTTCAAGGGGAGAGGAGGGAAAAGTACTGTTAAAAGCAAAAGAGCTGAATGTGACAAAACAGATCTGCCAGGGAGACCCTGAGGGACAGGGGAGTTCTCAGTTTCTGCCTTGCCTGCATGGACTGCACAGCATCATCCACAACCCTGGACAGAGACAGCAGCCCTGGCCTGGGCTGCCTTTACCAAGGAGGCAATTGCCACCACTCAAACTTTCCCTGGTCTCCCCTGTCCGGTGTGGGGCTGACCTGTGTGGGGAATTTGCCCTGTCCTGCAGGGACCTCCCTGCCAGATTTGGCATTTCAGTGCCCAAATCTGCTGCTACACTGCTACACTGCTACACTGTGAGCCATGGGAACACCAGCACAAATATATCCTGCCAGAGCTGTCTCAGGTGCCCTCTGTTAAAGCCCCTGCTACTCTATTATTTTAACCAGAGAGGGCAGGGGCTTTCCTGTCCCCTCACACAGGTGCTCCGAGACCCTTTTTCCCTGGTCTCTGGCCTGACCTGCAGTCTCAGGGTTGGAGCTGTGGTCAGTGTAAGCTCTTTGCTCCTCATCTAAGGCAATTTAAACCAGCATCAGGCTAAATTGCTGATGCTGTAGCAGAAGTCCTTATTTTACAGCTCTGCAGCCTTCAGTATACATGCAAAGAACTAGACATTTTTATTTGTATTACTATTATTATTGATAGTTTCTGAATATTTCCAAAAAAGGGGATGTGCCCTGAGGTGTGAAGGGGTTTTGTCTAAGCATTCAAGTAAAATAAATACTTCAAGAAAGTATTCTTTTTTTTTTTTCCTGTCTTCTTCAAATTCCACCTGTCCCACATCTGTATCGGAAGCTGCTTCTGGGCTGGGGTCAGAGCAAAAGCCAGGGCTTCTCCAGTCCCATGCAGGGCTATCACAGTCTTGTTTCAGTCTCTGCTTGTGACTCAGGTCAGAACCTTGGAACCTAACAGAGAGGGAGGCAATTTGTTGTTTCCTTTGAATTTTTCAGCATCTCAAAAGCATGGGGTTCCTGAAAGCCTAAACACCCTCCCTTCTATAGGAGAACAAACTAAAACATGTTCATCTGCGTTTCTGTCAAAGGGGAGGGAATACCACCTGTCTCACTGCACAGGACAAGTTAAAAATCATTCATCTGCACATCTATATATACAGTGAGCCCGAATATAAAAACTGGCGTGGGATTTTTTTTTCTTTCTGTTCTAAGCTGTGTGCTGCCCGGAGACACTGCTTGCTTGTTTTCACTGAAATGCTGAATTTCACTGAAGCAATGAAAACAAACCACCTTTCTGAAGCTCTTTGCTGCTGAAAGGCTTTGTTGCATTTCATGCTGTATTGTTTGTTATTTGTGCCCATCACTGTGGCACCAGAGCTCAAACAGAGAAATATTTGGTTTATGCAGAGGGAGCATGTGTGAGTGTGAGGGGCAGCAGTATTTAGTAGGAAAGCAAACAAGCAAAATATAAATCTATATCTGGCATGATTTTTTCAAGAAAATCTCAAAAGTATTTCTGTGGCAGGCAGACTTCCCCAAACAGAGTGCAGTGTGAATTATTTAAATTTCTTCAGCTGAATCCAAGGAATATTTTCACAGGTACATGGACAATGTCTCTCTTCCTGTGGTTCTCAGGAAGGCAAAAATCCTAGGATCAGCTCCAGAGCACACAGAGCGAACACAAAACAATGTTAGCCAGGTACACACAGGGAAAAGAGGGATCAGGCTATTTAGAGGATTTTTTCAAAAGCATTTGCCCACCCACTTAACATAGGCCCAGATTTACTTACTGCTCCTCCATATCCCTCATGCCAGGGATTAGTGCAGCCTCTGACCACTTTGTCTCCATTTGCAATCCTGTCATGAGCCCAAGATACATGACCTTGTGACGTGTAAAAAAGCACACGAGGCCCCTGATTAACTTCAGAGTATTTTATTTCTTTAAAGAAAAGAAAAGCACTTCAAAAGAATAACTCTTGAACAGAATCAAGGCACAGTCACCAGCGAGTGTTTAACAAAATTACCCGGGAAGGCAAAGTGAACTCGATCGACGAGCTGCTGTCTGTGTAACAGTCGTAACACAAACTGTGACCCCAGCCAAGAGCCGTGGGCAAAGTGCTTGCTGACATGAACCAGTTCTGACTCAGGTGTATGAACTCTCTAATAAGCAGTTTACTCCCCACCTTTCTGCTTCTAACAACTGCTGAGCAGCTCAAGCACAGTCTTTATTATCTTGTAACACGTAGTTGTTATTGTTCGTGCTGTTCTTCATATCTGTGTAAGTGACGGATTCTAGTTGAACATTAAGTCTTAAACTTTTCTAGTGGAGTGAGTTCTGCAGTCAATCATACACAGAACAAAAATTATTATATTTTGCATATCAATTTTCTACTTTTTGTTAACATAAATAGCCCCAAGTTCTGTCATTAGAAAAAGCAGGACAGATTTTCTCAAGCCATCTTCTGCAACCACTCCCTTTATAATTCTCTTTTGCTATGTTACCTTTTCTTCCTTTCTTTCTACATGAACAATCAAAATAATTTGAACTTATTTTCATACACAGTTCTTGCAAACTGTACCTAATATAACTGTCTGCCAAGATGTGCTGCCTTTTTTTTTTCCTGTGAAAAAAGCAAAGTAATACATTCCCAGAGCCTTTTTCTCTTCAGCTATCTGCAACGCATTCTTCTGTTTGATCTCCCTGCTGTGAGCAAGAATGAAAATATTGCACTGGTAAGGAGTCACCCAGGGAACAAACCTTCACCTGGCACGTGGTGCCATGGTCAGTGCAAGAAAACCGGATCATGGTTCTCGTCTGCTGAGATGCCACAGCCCGGGCAAATGTAAAAGGTTTTTTATCTTTCAGCTGAAGCAGCCAGCCAAGGAACCAGATGTAGCAGAGAACAAATAATACAGCTCAGTTCACACCAGGAGGGTCCACAAAGTTTGTCACAGAACCAGGTGCATCTACCTGGTAGAAACTTATTCTTACAACTGTCACAAATAAGTTTTTTGGATGCTTAAATAAACACCATCAGAGTTTGATAAGAATTTGTGAAAATGCAGCTTTACAGAGTTTGATGGCATGGTTCACTCTATTACTTACTACACAGCTTAAAGCATAAAAAGGGAGATGAAATTAGAAACAATTTGGAATGATTTATACACAAACGAGGAACTGAAAAAGGGATGAGGTTGCAAAAGATATGGGTGCAAACATAAGGGTGCAAAAGGGCTTAGCAGCACTTAGTCATTGAATACTTTAACATTTACAAATGTTTTAATACTTACAAATATTTTAATACTTAAAAATGTTTACAAATACTTTAAAATGTACAAAGTGATTCTGTGGGATTCACTACAATTATAACAACGACTTAGTCATAAAATTGAGCCATAAAATTGAGATTCATACCACAATCAAGTCACAGGCACACAGGTAAAATGATGTTTACACCTATTTCTTTGTGTGTAAAGGTGCCTATCAAAAATTCCCCTCACGTTCAGTGAAATACTCGCATCAAACCCCTTTGGGTTTTCCAACAGGCAGGGATGGCACCTTGAGGAACGTGGAGATGGGGGCTGGGCGTGGGTATCAGCCTCGGCTCCTCATCAGTCCCAGTTCTTCAAGTATCACAAGCTCGAGTGTTTGTGAGCCCTGAGAGGCCCCACCCAGAGGAGGTGCTGGTGCTGCCTCCTGCAGCTCGAAGGGCCTCCCTCAGGACTGCTGTTTGGAGGACTGTGAGGTGATTGACTGGCTAGCAGTGAGTTTCCCTCGTGATCACAACCCAAACTGGTAACTACTGGGCTTTTTGTAGTTCCCCAAAGTGCAGTGGCAGTGGTACCGTTCCACTCGGGCTGCAGTTCCCAGTGGTGCCACTGCGCTCAGGCTGCAATTCGGGCGGGTGCTTTACCAAGGCTACAAAGGAGAATTGCTTATCTTTCATTTCCCACCTTGTTTGGGAA